TCCTATGTACTTTAAAAAAGAAAAAGATCAATTTTGTCCTCTAAGTTCTGTTGTCCAGTCAAAGCTTAAGAAACAACAACATACCATAGCACAGTTGTTAAAAATTGTGGCTGTAATTTTTTTCAATTATCATGAGATGATTTAAACACAAAAGACTCTCTTTACACAACAAGATACATTTTATGTGTTTTTCAGAAGATGCTACACAGCGACCTCCTTAAGGGACAATAGACAAGTGACTAATTAAGTGGAATCTAGTCTTACACCATCATTAAGAGATGCAAAAGGGGAATTATTAAAATGTGTAACCCTCTTTTTCTACTCTTCTTTCTTCTCAGAACACATTAGTTTTAAGCTATTGATGTTAAGAAGATTCTAACTTAGAGAGCTTAAGTGAAAAAGGTTCCACTTTTACAAACTCAGTTCCATAAAGCTACCCTTTTATAAGGATTTTTGTAACAAAAATCTGACAACTTTTTCACTCTGACAGTTTGCAATGAGGGAGAAAAATGAAGGCAAATGTGATGATGGAAATAGGGTCAGCAAAGTAACTGGAGTGAAAATTAAATATTTGAAAAGTATGTAGTGTAATGTTAATAATCAGAGGGAGGCCTGATATTAAAATCTAATTGAAATTGAATTCAAATGCTGACTTTGGCTCTGACACCTCTGATATGAGCTCCTGAAGGTAACATGATTTTGACAGACCATATATTGCTATAATAGTTTTCCTTTCATTTTGCTTCACAGATAATTGAATCAGAATACTTCCATCACTTAGGAAACTTCTTGAGTGTGGATCCAAGGGGAATCACTGTAAGGGAAAACATCTATGGGATTAAGCAGGATATACTGAATCTTTCCATAGGATTTCTGAGGTGGGATAACTTAGGGTTTACTTGTAGCCTAGTAGAGTAAGATAAGATATTGCCAGAAAACAAACACAAACAACCACAAGTTTCAGTCCCCACTTTTCAGAAAGGGTGTGGTTATTGGGCAGAAAGTGGGAAAATAATTAAAATGGATTTTAGGTGATACTGTAATATGTCATCTCATCAAAACTGTGTGATGGCCTAGTTTTCTTAGACAGACTTGGCTCTGGACACAGCTTGATTTTCACAGCTTTGTGGTTGCCCTGTGGCTAATAAAATACTGAAGCTTTTGCAAACTAGAAGGGTTTGTTTTAGCTTATGTTATGCTGAGCCAAAGAAGCATATTGAGGAGTTGGTGGGATCAATTCTGACAGACAACATCCAAGTATTGAAGTTTGCTCCTGAGCTTGTATGTAGACAATTGGATTAGCTACTATTTCACATAACTTTTATAAATTTTGCCTTAAAAAGTGACTAGATAAAAGGTAAATTGATTGCTGCTAAAACATTATATTCTTCTTTTATGTATGCACTCATATTTTAAAAATAAATGAATCTCAGCTGCTATTTTTATCAGATATTGTGTTGGTTATTCATTACTTTTTTTAAATAATAAATGCATACCCAACATTTAAGCAATACTTCTATACCATGGTCATGTTCTATTTGAAAAAAAAAATCAGCCAAGCTGCCATTATCTTTTAATGTCAACAAGTTTTAAATGATAATTTTTATAAAATTAGAACTGAATCTCATAGTTTTTGTAGTTTACCTCAATCTGTTTTCTGTTGCTGTAACAGAACACCTGAGGTTAGTTAATTTAAAAGGAAAGTACTTTAGCTCATAGTCTTGGAGGCTGACCAACAAGATCAGGAGATCACATCTGCTAGGCATCTGGAAAGACTTCAGGCTGTTCTTTTGTATGACAGACAAGTGGACAGGTAAAGGGGACATTCAGAACAGATCACCTGGTCTGAGAGAAAGTAACAGAAGTCAAGGAAAGCCAGCTGGCTTTCTAAGCACCCATTCCTGAGTAATCCAGTCTTTCAAGAGCAGGAATTGACCATGTAAGAAAGGATTAATCTATTCATGAGGGTTCTCCCCATTACCGAACACCTCCCACTGGCTCCACTTCCCCAAAATGTCTCAATCATGAGGCATGCTAAGCCTCAATAGCAGTTTGGAAGGGAACTTCTGAGTACACTGTACTCAAACCACAGCAGAGAAAGGTAAACCAATAATGGAACTTGTTAGTCTACTGTGCTAAATGCAACTCTACAAAATGGGCCCTCATAAAGAAGAAATTTGGGAAAAGTGTTACCCTACTAAAACAAATCCACATATTACATGACACAGAGAGTAAATAGTGATATAGACTGATTGCTTTCAATTAAAGTAAGCTCTTTATATGAAGCACCAGCTCTCCTCTTTCAGCACAACATTTGAGCCTCTAGCTTCTCTAACAGTAAATGTCTTCCTTGGATATTTAACATTAAGTTAGTTTCTAAAAAGCCTATTATATGTAATGTATTATTGAAACTTAACAATGTTCATACAAGTTGAGTATTAAGGTGGCAGGTAACTTACAGAGGTGATGAATTCAAGTTAAAATTGAATATATTAAAGAGGCTATAATGATTTGTCAGTTAAAATTTTAGAGTTCCAAGGAGTTAATTGTATGCTAATTGAAAGTCTTAGGGTGCCTTTGCTGGAGGAAAAGCTGATGTTAGAAATTTCTTCTTCTGTATCTGTAAAAAAGAAGGTCATAATTATACTCTAAAATTTATCTATAAAATGATAATGAAAATATTTAGGAAAGAAATTCACATAAATGTGAAAAGATGAGAACCTACACACACTTGATCAAAATGAGCAGTCCATACACAAGTCATGGAGGAGCAATGTTGTACCAGTGTGCGGCCAATAAACTATGGAAGTGTTGGAAATTCCTTTCTAAGGTAATGTCCTCAGCATTGTGCCAGCATCCAAGATTGTTAGTCATGTGATTAAGCAGCCCCTTGAAGAGGCCACGGTGTTGAGGAATGGAAGCCTCTGGTCACCAGCCGTGTGCATGAGTCCAGAGGCAGACTCTCCACACAAAGGATGCTTCAGATGACTGACACCTCTGGTGACCGCTTGACTATGAACTCTCTATAGATCCTGGGGCAGAAGCATCCAGATAAGGGGATGTATATTCTTAAACTTCACTATGATATTATTATTGAAACTTGAAGGAACTTCTTGTGCAATAATATATTATTAATTAACCAAAGAATTAGAATTATTATAGATAAGGGACAAAAACATAGTTTCAGGACAGTAGGGTGTACATATCTTCTCTTTGGGGAAGTAGTGGTGTCAGTATGTAGTTGAGGCTGACCTTGAACTTGTGACAAGTCTCCTGTCTCCTAAGTACTGTGACATATACCACTTCTTAGTGTCAAAATCTGAATAAAGGAAAGAGAAAATAAATGGATTTTTTTTTTTTGGACTGTTGATCAAGCTCAGGCCCTTGTGTTTGTCAGGTAGATGCTTATTCCTTTGAGCTAGCTCCCCAGATTGATTTTTAAAAATTGTGGTACTTAAAAAAAATTGTGGTACTTGAAATTGTTCCCAGAGCCTTTATACTGAGCTATACCTGCAACCCTTTTTATTTTGGGACAGATTTTTGCTAAATTACCAAGACTGGAGTTGAATTTGAGAGTCTCCTATCTGAGCTTCCAAAATGCCTGGATTGTATTTTTATTCCACCATGACTTACTCTTCTTTTTCCTCTTGCTTCTCCTCATTCTTTCTTCTCCTGCTGTCCTTCTCTTCCTCTTCTTATTTTGGTAGGCAAGCTATTGAAAGGAGAGTACCATCTTATTTGCTTGTACAGATGGTGCTGTACTGTAGTACACGCAGGGTGCCAATATCCTTGTGAAATGAAGGAGGTTAAAAATCAAATACACTTCCTGCTCTCTAAGCTGCATGTCCTGATGCAGAGCTGTATCCATCCAGGAATAGCAGCATCCCTTTCTAACTCACACAAATGTTTAATCATCTTGCCAAGACTTTACCCAGAGGGTTTCGTCCACCCCAAGGAAGGGCATTTTTCCCCTAAAGAGCACAAAAAGACCATATGGTCTAAAAGTAGTTTGAAAATTGACATGGATAGGGAGATTTGCACTTTTTGCAGGGCACTGTCTTCCGGCTCATGTCCTGCCTACCTCTTCACTGCACATGCATGTTTGCATAAATATTATACCTTCAGGGAATTTTTACTAGTAAAATGAAAATAAAGGTATCTATATAATTGGATCATTAAAGATTATATGAGATAATTTTTGAAAAGTTACAGGCTTAGTGGGTTACCCTTAGAGAGTCCATGATCATTCATGCAACATTCAAATTGTTTGAATTTAGACAGAATAAAATTGCTGTGTATGAAAGAAAATACAAGCTTCCCTAATTAATCAAAGTTCATAATGTTCCCTTTCATAGCAAATATTAGGAAAGAAAACAGAATGGTAAGCTCGGCAGAAATCCTGCAGTATTTACCTCTGAGTAGATAAGTGAATGATAGACAAACACAAGAGAGACAGAAAAGATGAGTATATGATATATTTAGAAAATGTACACATGTGTGTAGAGATACCGAGTAGTGTTACCCTAGAATAACTATAATAACTTCCTAATAAATAAAAGTGCATACAAGTCCTCATATAATCTGATTACTGTGTTTCTTTTTTTAAAATAAATATGGAAAACAACCAGTAAATGAAGAGTGTTAAGCATTTCCAAACTAATATTAATTATACTCCAAGAGATTTAAAGCAATTAAGACAAATATTACTATAAGATTCTATGGGTACTAGCAGTAATTAATATCATATTTAAACAAAGTGGGAAAATGTAAAATTATGCTCCATCATATTAGGATTTTAGTAAGTGAGACAGGTGCTGAAAATGTCTAGACTTAGCAAAATAAATCCATTAGAAGGACCTCTCTAGAAGTCCATCGGATAAGAGGTACTGCTTCTGGGTGTCAGCTGCTCCTCACATCTCCCATCTCTGTGAGGACTTAACTTCAATTTTGCCTTATGAGTAATCTTGTTATTAAGTTTATCCAAAAAAATAACAATCCTTATACTTACCTGGCAGGGGAGGTACCATGTTCACGAAGGCAGATTTTCCAAGGTGAGTAGTATCCATTGCCCTCCATATGTTCTGACCCCTGCAATTTCCCCAAATGTGGGAAACTCAGCTGCGTAATTTGTGACAGTGGGGACCGCAAGCTCTCCCTTGGGGGACATGAGGAAAGAAATAAGAAATAACAATTCTTCATACTACATTCTCTGTGTTAAAAGAATTGTATGTTTTCTGTGAAGTACTGGGACAGACCCTTACAATGGGACAATTAGGGGAAAGTATTAGATAGTTCCAAGTCTGAATATTTCCAGTTGAATCAGAATGTTTTGTCTTTTAATAGCAGAATTTTGTAGAATGTCTCTTGTATTATTAAGTAACTATTTCTCAACTATCCTTTTTAAAGTAGTTGGATACATACATGCTCAATCACTTGAGGCTTAAAATTTCCCATTGCAATTTGACTTTACTTATTTTTGCTGTGTTTAAAAATATATCCAGGGCAAGAGCACCACTGGAATAAACAATTCAAATGTGAGGTTAAAGATACTTTTTTTGTCAATGTGAAAAAATTAGGAGCTGTAGTGATGGTCAATTTTGGGCAATGCGTCTGGGAATGCAATAAATAGAACATATTCTTTATTACACACTTGGAATTAACCGAGAAGGAAAATGAGTTTCTTTGTCAAGAAGTGAAGACCTGTACGAATTTTGAACATGAGATATTACAGTAGAAACCAATTTTTAAAACTGGTAGAAACACCAGGCCTGGTGATGCATGCCTACAATTCCAGTCTTGAGGAGGCTAAAGCAGGAGGATCTCTGTGAGTCTGAGCTCCATAATGAGACCCTGTACCAGAAACATAAAAATTAAAAAAAACTGGTAAAATTATACACAATGTCATAAACAGTCATTGTCAAAATATATTCTGTTAGGTGAAGGACAATTTTCTTGTATGGAATCTACTGTGGTATCAAAACATGTGTATTAAAATAATGATGGTACTGCAGAGTAGAAGTTGATATTGATTCTTCTGTTCACATTGCTGGGTGACACCATCCTCCCCTAAATTCTTTGTGGAATTATTTACTTTTCTGTTGCTGGGGCCACAAAAATCTAAGATCTTGGACTAAAGGAGAGATTTATGTTGGCTCAGGAGTTTGGGGGATTTTGCCCGTGTTTGGGCCAAAGCAGAACAGGCTTGTCCAAAAGGCATGGGAGCAGAGGTCTGATTCACTGATGGAAGCAAAGAAAAAGGGACTCAGGAGCATTCTGAGAATGAGAAGACATCCTTCCTGATGTTGTGCCTAACGACACACCTCCAGCGAGGACTCACCTCCTGTAGCACAACCAGTTATAAACTCCCCAAAGGACTGACCCACTGGTGAGTACAGTGCCTCTGTGGTCCTGTCGCCTCCCCGAAGCCCTGCCTCAGAGGACAGGGGACTTAGGAGTAACATATTAGCTCTGACCCATACCATCTACTTTTATCTAGTCTCATTCCTGCATTAAGCAGTATGTCAACAGAAAAATATGGTGTACCCATCTTTAGCAATTTGAGCATAATTTAACGCTGATTTAAGAAAGCAGATAGGATATATGAAAACAGAAAAGGTAGAATACTACTCCAAAATTAATAAACTTTGATGCAGTGAAACAGAATTTTTATTAATCTTTTATCATAAATTTTTTAACTGAGTGATTTCCTATTCCTCTCCTTGAAAGGTGGCACTTAATTTCCCTTCCTTTGATTCTCAGATCATGCATGGTTATGACAGAAAGTGATGGCACATGATCTCCATGGTTGCATACTAGAAGGTTACAGCATTTTATATGCCCAGCTGGCTCTGAGAAGCTTACTTTGTGCTGTAAAGAAACCTAAATTGTTACAAAAGGCAAGGGTAAATTATATATTACACAAGATAGCTAAGATAATGGTACTACTAATTTTTTATTAATTTATTCAAAGGAACAGTTAGTGCTTAAAATGTTTTATCAGTCTTACATGCCATACCTTGTAATCTGAGCAACTACTTTGAAGATAAATAAACGAAATATAACCATTGTTAATTTCCTATCATCTTGTTTTGAAACTCTGTATCATTTTTATTAGTATTTTTAATTCTCTTTAAAGTATAAATAAATAAATAAATAAATAAATAAATAAAGTACGTTAGAAAAGAATCTCGGCCCTGCAGAAAAGCTGAATACTAGACAATCAGCAGCATCTTTCCAACTTCTAAAAGGGAACCTTCTTCAGATCCATTAGAGCTCTGGTTAGCCGCACAAACAGATGTGGCGTGAGATAGAAACGAGTCTGTCTACAACAAAGAACTGCCCAATTTTGTAGGAAATAAAAGGTCTACTTCAAGTTAATAAGCTATGAGATGGTTTTCTTTGTAGCAATCGTAATGTAAATGAGAATCTACTACTTTGAGGGCTGAAGGAGAGAGAGAGAAATGAAGTATTGGGTATGAAATTCCAGAAGCAGAAAGACTTGTCTGGAAGTTTAATAATTTAACCTCTCTATCTTCCTTCCTGATGGGTGCCTGCTGATTCGCTCATTGGCTGAGCCCAATGGGATACTAGAGGGAAGGTAATCTATTGACAAAATCCATCTTAATCAATCCTATGTGACTCAGGGAAGTATAGAAAAAGGTGTGCATAGATCTAGAGGGCATAAAGCGAGACATCGAATCCAGACACCTTCAGGGCTCTGTGAAACACAAGTTAAAACAGCTCATCTCAGTATGACACAGTCATGGTATAGAGGTCCTTTGAAATTTGACTATTATTTAAAATTCTGCTGTGGATTATCTTATCCCTGCAATCCTAGACACATGGATCAATAGACCTATGGTTGGATAATATATCAATTAATATGGATTAATATACTATATTATCAGTGTTATTGAACATTATTATATTTTAAATTTTCTTTCATTTAGATATTCTGCTTTCTACAAAAAATAAAAAATACTGTTAATATTTTCAGTTATTAAAAAATAAGCTTCAATATCATCAATGGATTCTTTTATGTTTATGTCTCTCTTGAAACAACCATCTAGTGGGTTAAAATTTAGGACCTCAGTCTCCATTTCTAAGTAATATAAATACATTTAAATTCTGTATAAAAGGCAGGTTTTTCATGCCAGCACAAAAGGTTTAGTTCATAAAGAAAGAGGTTGTGAAGGTGAAGAGATACAATAAAATCACTGAGAGTAGAACTACAAGAGGTAAGTTTCTGAGTCTACAGATCTTTGACTATTCCAGTCTGGCTGGTAAGGGGACTATTGTTTGAAGAACTGTATCATTGCATAACAGCAGGGTGCTGCACTGCCTGCTATGCACATGGTTTGTTTGCCCGCATGAAACTCAGTGCTTCTCTCAGCTGCTTTTCTGCCTGGTTCTTCAAGTTATTTGATGTTGTATAAGAAAGGCCAAAAACCCTAAGATCTAACAAAAAGGAAGCTCAAAACCTAAACTTAAGAAGCCTGTCTCTGAAAAACTATGACCCTAATTTAACGTGTGCACCTTCGTGATTAGGTTACACAGGTCAACACAATTTGAATGGCCTCCTGTGCGCTTGGACTTTTAGCACATTCAGACTTACTGTATTCAGGTCCTCTAAGAGCTATGATCCAGAGAACTAGGAGTTGTATTTTGGGTTATTTGGAAGAATCCTATTAAACTTTTCCTCTAAAGCAGCAATCCAGGCTTTTGAGAGTCAGCATGGAGCTGCAATGAATTATTCATGCAAGACTCTGGAAGATGGGCAAGTTTCCTGCCAAGAGACACACAGCAAGGGGTGTCATAAAGCCAAAATTGGTATGTGTAAAGTGAGTGGATGGAGAAGATTTCAAAAGATGATCTCTTTGCTAGAGAAGGAATCCTCTAGACCTTTAAACTTTGTTTTCACAGCAGAGAGCTTTCTGAATGCTCTGATTTTCTCCTGCTATTCCTTGTCTTGCTTCAGAAGTCCAAGATGCTAAAAAACATAGTCTTCTCCTAAGCTGATTTAATTAGAATAAGAAGGGGAGTTATAAAAGCGACCAATTAATTCTGAAAGGGCACAGTGGCATTTCATTGTATGAGGATGGTTACTTCATTCTGCACAGATGAAAGGGATTTGAATGGCAAAGTTATTGCCGTGGATGCAAAGGCTCTATCTTAAACAAACAAGCAGGCCACATGCCTTTCTTATAATGCACAGACAGGAAACTTAACTCCGCTGCTGACATACGGCAGCAGTACAGTGATGAGTGCCAGTCCAAGGATTAAGCCCACTGAGTCTCCCACATTCGCAGGATTTAATACTTTGATGCAGCACTCTGGATCTGTAAATGAATAAAGCTTATGTCACTGATGGAACATCCTGCTGAGCAACAATAAGAAAACTCACAACCGAGATAAAAGAGGCCATACCCGAGTAAGCAGTTATAAGAATAAATACAAACTACAGATATTACTTATCTGGTCAAGAAGTACAATTTCTGAGCAAACAAATCATTCAGCCCTGAATAGTCCTGATAATGGCATTATGAATAATGCAAACAGTTACCAGTTCAAGGGAAGCTGTCACTAAATTAATACAAAGCTACTCAATGCCTCTGAAAATATTCTTTTTATTTTAATTTATGTCTTAGAGAATGTCAAATGCACACCATTCACAATTAGGCTGGAGAGCTTAACAGTGGTTTATTCTAATTCAATCTCAATTAGGGATTTGGTGGCAACCCAATCTTCCTTTTCAGCAAGAAACAGACCCACAGTCTGCAGACTGTTATCCCAATTCTGACAATCTAGGAAAGAGCAGCTGGAAAGTAATGAAAAATACATGTGCGTTTGAGGTCTCTGCTCTTTCCAAAATGCTCTTAAAGATTGTGTACATAATCTTTACAGAAACATTGACCTGTTCTGCTCCAATGAATTACAGAATATGCAAAAACCTTCTTGGACACTAAAAATACACCCCAACACTGTAACTTTGGCAGGAGGAAGACTCCAAATCGCCAATGGAAAGCACAGTCTTCTGGACAGTGGTTTCGCTTTCAAGATCTAAAACCGGATCCCCATCCCCAGGGAGATGTTCATTGGACTGGACATTACAAATATCTTTCAGGAAGTTGTTTTAGGTTCTAACTACCTGGAAACATC